TCTCTTATACCGGCTCTAGTTTCCTTCAGAGAGTCAATGTACTTCTGAGTGCCTGATTTTTTCTGACACTTGAACCTGTTGCTGCATTGTTTTTCTCATGGCAGCCATTATCATTTTGATTCCGGAATGAGAATGCTCATTCCAGTAGGTGAGGTGGAATGATCATTCTCCAAAAAGAATCATTCTCAGCGATTCCAATTCTGGAATGACCAAAATGGGACCAACCAAACGGAAAATTTTAACCAAGCAAACGGGCAAGAATGATACCCAGTGATTCCCATTGCGGAATGTGACCAACCAAACGCAGCCTAAGTCTTGCACCTCCTGTAAACCGGAAAATTTCGGTGGATGTTTTTTTTTCGGTAACTTCGGTACGGATAATTTTTACCTGAAATAAAATGCACCGAAAATATGCGTACATGTACATGCATGCCGACTGCAGCACGGAAAACTGGTTTGCCGAAATTTTCGTGCTACCGAACCGTTGGTTTTGGGAAATACCAAAAATATTACACCACCGAAAATTCCCGGTTTTAGAGTATAGTGCTGTCATCCTGGGCACCACATCAGGTTTCAGCATACACTTTGCACTTTGCAGCCGTGTAGAAAGACCACTCACTTCTCCACGTTGGTATCGATGATCTGGTTACACTCTTTGTGTCTTTTCGCCTGCAGATAGCCGTCCTATCAAGATACCTACTGTGTTTTCTAATGGTGATTGGGCATTGCCAGTGGAGGTATGCAGAATTAGAACATGTTCGCATCCTTGTCTGTACACAATGCAAATGTACCTGTGGATTGCATTTTTACCGAAGGTTTTGTTTGTTTTTGATCTCAGCTCTCATCTTTCTTTCCTACTTGTTTCTAAAGATACTTTGCCCTTTTGTAGACCTGATTGGTTTATGTTGGAACTGTGTGTGTTTGTTTGTTTGTGTGTGTGTGTGTGTGTGTGTGTGTGTGTGTGTGTGTGTGTGTGTGTGTGTGTGTGTGTGTGTGTACATCTGTGTGTGTGTGTGTGTGTGTACATGTCCGTATTTCTCCTTTGTTTTCTCTGCTGTCGTCAGTTTTCCATGGGTTCTCAGCCGGTGGCACATACTCACACATTCCCGGAGTACACAGCTGCATTACAGGTAGTTTTATTTTTGAATAGTGAGATGCCAGTGTACTTATGCTACCGGGCCACATTGCTTTGAAAGGTGTCCTTGTTTGTGAGGGACCCAATGCTCTCTCTCTCTCTCTCTCTCTCTCTCTCTCTCTCTCTCTCTCTCTCTCTCTCTCTCTCTCTCTCTCTCTCTCTCTCTCTCTCTCTCTCTCTCTCTCTCTCTCTCTCTTTTTCTCTCTGCTGTGTGTCACTGCACTGCATGGTTCTCACTAACGGCCTCATTGCTGTGTGTCACTGCACTGCATGGTTCTCACTAACGGCCTCATTGATCTGCATCGCTTGTATTGTATACCTGTGTTTACTGCTTACTGCTGCTTTATTGTTCCAAGTATCAGTTTAGTTAAGTTTAAACATCTCTTATCATTATTTTTATTTTTCTCACCCCACACCCCTCTACTCTGTTATCGGCCCTCTTAAGAGTCGTGTTCATCACTGTTGAGGCTTCCGATGGAAAATAAAAGAATACTACTACTACTACTACTACTTCCTGTTGGCATGTACATTGTGTTCTCACTATGCATGCATTGGTAGACTACTTTAGTTCCTCAAGACTCAGATAGCGTTCTCTTGGCCGCTCGCCTGGCCGCTCGCCTGGAGGCTCGGCTTTGAGCGCCGGCTCTGATTGCTGAAATGAACTTCTCAACAGAAGTAAATGGCTACGTTCTTTGCATATTCAAATTGGTTGTGTTCTTGTTTCTCCGCATTCTTTTTCTTCTTGTCCCGATGTGTGCATGTAGAGTTTAGTGTCTCACGTCACCAGCCACGCACCAGTGGACGTTGGTCAGCTTCTCGTTGGCCGAGGAACGTGCACTTTCGATCCTGGTCAGCAGCTCGCTGGTGGAGGCGATGGAAACGGCGGCGACAGCGATGTCGCCTTTGCTTTGTGCTGTACGTTGTGAAGCAAGATTAATCGTACGATGCTGGTGTGTCACGGCTGCTTGCCGCTTTGATTGCTGATTCAGTGTTTGTTTGAAGGAAACTGAACAGCTAGATGGAAGTAGATGAAGCGATCTCCACTGATACTGGTACATGCTGTAAAGTGGGGAACTTTCGCTAGAGATTTAATTTCGCTATTTTCTCGACCTTCACACATGCGCGAATACAAATCGCCACAAACCGCTCTATACATTGATTGTACACTGTACAAGATCCAATTGAAGAGATTTAATCGCGAACGTGTCTCATCGTGAACCAGCGCAGTTCTTGAAAACGCAAAATTTGTGCACCGCGAAAGTTTATCGCTTTACAGTAGTAGACCTACACTCGGACGTCTCTTATCCGGGCACCTTGGGACGGGGCACTGCCCGTATCTCAGATTTGCCCGTATCTCAGGATAACTCATCTACCATGTATCATATCATTTGTCAAAGAAGTTTATTTGGCACGTATTTCACATGTTCAGGATACAAAAATAATCCACTGATAACGTGTGGATTACACAGGTTGATAGTGACAAAATAAGCACTTGCGCATAAGTTAACCCCCCCCCCCCCAAATTCGAAGCATTTTGCCATAGGAACTCAAGCTGAAGGTGCCCGGTAGAGAGACGAGCCCGTATCTGAGGCGTCCGGAGAAGAGACGTTTGAGTGTACTGCCATGGCAACAAGTTCCTACTGGCCAACTACACACCTGTCATGTGAAGAACATAAGTAGCTTTAGTAGGTGGCACAGGTAAAAGATGTCCCCGGCTAAAACATCCCCATGCCTTGCCTTGCCTTTGCACCCAACTTCTGAGCTATCGCATTTCCCAGTCCTCATTCTCAATGCTTCACACAGCACTGATAACGCCTTGGAGAGATGGCGCGAGGAGCCAATACTATCGCACTGCCCGTTATCATAATCTCCATCTCGTCAACCCTGCCTTTGCAGTTTGCACGCAGCTCCTGAGCTATCACATTTCCAGGCCCTTCTCACTGCTTCACATAGCACAGGTACAGGCTAGCGGCTGCTCACAACCACTATAGGTGAAGACGGAGATGGCGCGAACAGCCTACACTATCTCACTTCCCCTTGTCACCATGTCCATCTTCACTCTCACCTGATTGTATTCATTGGTACTGCACATCACCAACTCTTTAGTTGCCTGATGATTGTGTATGCAAGTAGCTCGGAGTAGCAACGATATGCACTAGTAATCTGGGAGTTGTTCTGCCTGAGTATATAGTACTACTTGTAGTACTCTAAATCTACTTGTACTGACATTGCTGCTGCTGCTGCTGATGATGATGATGGTGATGTGCCTGGTGCTGCTACTGCTTCTGTTCAGGTAATGTGGTTACATTCTCTAGCAGTTTTGAAGTATTGCCAACACGTACATGTGATCTACACTCCAATCCTCTCCTGCGTGACTTGACAAGTAAAGACAGTGGCTGGCTATGGCTTGAACCACAGTTCGGGTAAGTGTAAGCAAGTACCATGTTTTCCGCAATATAAGCCGCACTTTGAATACTCAAAGTTCACAGAAAAGGGGGGGGGGGGGCACGGCTTATGCTCCGATGATCATATTAACCGTGATAAATAGGATAGATGTGTGTATTTCGTGGCAAAAAAATACTCCAGTGCGGCTTATACTCTGGATAGTGCGGTACTTGTCTCTTTGTCCACTTTTGGCTTGTGGAGACGCTTCTGCTTACAGCAGTGTTAGATTGCAATAAGATTGCAATCAAGAATCTGTATATGTGTGTGTGTGTGTGTGTGTGTGTGTGCGTGCGTGTGTGTGTGTGTGTGTGTGTGTGTGTGTGTGTGTGTGTGTGAGAGGAGCTAGGTAGCTCTTCTTTCATTCTCCTGGGTGGTTACCAACAGCCAGTGTATGCCGGAGTATGTGGTGTGGCGTGTGTGTGTAAAAAAAAGAAAGAAAAATGAAAAATAGGGATTCACTGGCCAGAAAAAGCCACTTCAATCAGCTGTGTGGTGGATACCAGGCTAAAAATTAGTGGCGGTCAATTCATCAGCCTTGCAAGCTGTTGAATGGTGTAGTCCCAGCACAAGTTGCTATGTCTAACATAGCTGTTCGCTATCATCGCTTCCGCGATGGGCATGTCTGAGGTCTGAGTTGTGTGTGTGTGTATGGTTCTGCACTGTGCTCATTCACGCAGGTATATTTTCAGAGCTAGCGAGCCCGGTCGGTATCAGCTGACTCTCTTTTATGACCAGCCGGCTCTCGAAAAGGTACATCTGTGTGGAATGTAAGTCATTGGCCAGCTTCTGCAGTACTTGTGTGTGTGTGTGTGTGTGTGTGTGTGTGTGTGTGCACGCGCACGTGTCTGCGCACGCGCATGTGTCACTGAGCACTGTGTCACGAATGTGTGAGCTGTAGCACGTAGTCCTATGCCTTTGCTTGTGTTGTATTCTACTCTGTCCTTGGAGAATGCCTCAGAGATTACACTTGCTCAGAGCTGTGCACATGTGCTGATCTGTACAGGTTGATTCTGTAGGCCCTGTGTGCAGTGCCATGCACACCATCATCTTTTCAAGAGCAAACATGATGATTGTGTGTGTGTCATGTGACAAGCATACAACATGCCTTGCAAGTTATATTATATGTGCATCACCTCCGTATGTGTGTTTGCTTATGTGCATGCCCGCGTGCGGATGTGTGTGTGTGTGTGTGCATGTGCATCGCAACTATTTTCCGTACAGCTGGGTGAGCGGCATCGACAAGGTCTCACACCCTGCCGTTTGGTCTGCATGTCAGCGCTTCATCAACAGCAACTGCAACCTTCACACGTTAGTGGGCAGCATTAGTCTAGTTTTACAACTGAGAGGGGCATAGCTGGTCCCCCTTTTAGGGGGGGGGGGGGGGGGGGGGGGGTGCACGGCCACATATGTGTAGGATGGCTGGTGCTTGCCATTCATAGTCATTATGTGCATGCTGAACCTAAGTCGAAATTTTTAGGGGTGCACGTACCCCCGTGCCCCATATAGGCCATGTGGGCTACGCGCCTGCAACTATACAACCGTGTACTGTACAACATTGTACACAGTCCAAAACTTATAATTATAGCATTGTCCCTGCTGTCAATGAGGAGTGAATGTCAAGCAAAGCTGTATTCTATTCCACTGTGCATGTATGTGTGTTTCGGTGTGGATGATCATATGGCTAATGTGATTGCCACCACTGATGATGATGATGTGCGTGTTTTTTGCTGCTGGTCCTGGTGCTGCTGATGCTGCTGTTGCTGGTGCTGCTGATGGCTATGCAGTGTGAATGGCGGAGACTACATGCTGTTGCTGTTTAACAGTCCAACTGATCCGGTTCAGTGCTACCACTGGCGTGCCAGCAGTCAGGTAGGACTCATTCTCTCTATCTCATCTTCTTGGTGTGTGTGTGTGTGTGTGTGTGTGTGTGTGTGTCTCCCTCTCTCTCTCTCTCTCTCTCTCTCTCTCCTAATACAGTGATACGTTTCCAATATACTGTATGCCTTTACCCCTGTTTTTTTGTTTGTTTTTTTTGTTGCTGTTTTCAGAATGATCGAACATCATCAGCGTTTTCTCTTCTTGGCTGTTGTCACCGGGCAGCATCCATTGTGAGTAGAACTTCTTGTACCCTGGGTCCTTTACCAGGGGAGAGTGGGCTATGGGTGCCAAAGAAAGTATCCCCTGAAACGTTCTGCCCGTGGTCGCTAGAGGCTGCACTACGCCGTGCACCAGTGCAGCTGTGGCACTGTGTAACAACACACTGACCTAGCCAGGCGGCTACACAGTCTCTTGTCATTGGATCTATGCAATACATGACACATGTACATGCCACTACATGTATATGTAAACAGTGGAATTCTTCCTCTGCCTGCACAGTACACAGTACCCAGTGAACAGAGCTTCCTAATGAGTCACTTTTACCGAAATCTGTCAGAATTGAAAATTACTAGTACCTGAAGATCACTTTTTTGTTTGAAACTCAAGTTGCAGCTGACACCTCGTTCTGCCTTCTACGCATCGTACATGTAGTACGTGTGAAGCCGTACAGACAAACCAGGTTGCAGGCACATGCCGCTTGCCTGTGTTGGTGGTGCCACACATTTTTCAACGCCCTGCTCAAAGAAAAGTACAGTCGACTTATCAATTCGTTCATTCCTTCACACTGTGTTTCACAGTTCAAGTGCAGTAGGAGAGAAAAAACAACATTGAAGTGCAGGCTGCGCTTCTGGAGAATAATGTAATTTAACTGACGATACCTTTGTGCCATGTTTCAGCAAGACGAAACAAGGCAGGGTTGTCTTGATTTTATTTACAACCTGTTCTGCACCCTGCGTGGTGATGTGGTGTTGCTGTTTTGCAGAGTCGTCAGGGCGCTGTTTCGGTCACCCTTCATGAGATGACGTATGGTGCGGCTCACACTGACTTCAAGGCTGCTTGTCAGAGCTTTCAATGGCAATCAAGGTATGGTAGTAACACTGTAGGCTGTAGCGCAGATGAAAGTTGCCCGTGTGGCAATACGTCTCCACTGTACTCGCCGTGCATGCTTTTCGTTTTTGTCTTGATCACTGGCGCAAGATATTGTGAGTGTGATTTGCATCTCGCAATCATGGATAGTTTTGAAATACCCTTGTGAGCCTCCTCTCATTGAATCATTATTTTCCAGCTCGCTGCTCTAACTTTCTGTATTGCCTTGTGTGATTGAGGCTAATCACTCCAATGCCCTCTGCTTGTGGGGTTTTCAATGCTCAGATCTACTGTTGGTGCTGGTGTGCAGCAGCAGTCCATAGGGCAAGTGGAAAGACCTAGTGTAGTGGATCACCAGCCGCGTGATCAGGTACCGCAACCCCATGAAAGAAAACCGAAGGTGAGGGTGAGTGGCTCTCCTGTGCCTAGTCTTGCTCTTGACTGGACTAGACAAGGGTTTCCTCCTTGATTGAGTGACTGCAGGAGGGTCCCCCCTTGGTTGATTGACTGCAGGGGAATTTCCCCTTGGTTAATTGACTGCAGGGGGATTCCTCCTTGGTTGATTGACTGCGGGAAAATTCCCCATGCAGGGCTGCTTCCTAGGTTTGATTGGAAAGAATTAGCTGGGCAGCTTCAGTACCAGCTTGCTGTTGTGACCTAGTCTGGCAACATGGCTGGCTCCTTCCGAAAGCTGCTTTGAATTATTAATGTACACCTAGGGGTCCCTGTAAAAAGGCGCTGACGCCTGTTGGGAATTCCCTAGTAAAAGAAGAATAAATAATAATAAATAAATAAAATACATGTGTGTACATGTACGTGGGCACTTGTTGATTTGTTAACTGGAGTTGTACTTCACACTTGACCTTCGACCTTCGGATTTGTTGTAAACAGATGCTACTTTGATAGGAAATGTAGTAATTGGTTTTGAGTACGTACGGTGATGGACGGCTGCGCTAGTCTGTGTGCAGTTGAAGGTACATGATGCCGATCGATCTAAGTTCTATGTTGCCACTGTACACTGTATGTCTGTATATCTGTGCTTTGGGCGTTGGCTGCAGATTGCTCAAGCTGCTGTGACCGAGGTTTCCCTATTCTTCCCACCCGTGCGTACACAGTTATCAGCCGACCAAGCAGCCGTTCCTGGCGGCGGCAGCTGCCAGCAAGGTTATGGCTACGAGCATCTGCCAGCCGGGCCAGGTGTAGATGATGCTGCTGCTTCTCAAGTCAACACCTCGATCTCCACTGGGCTGTCTATGAAAGATGTGGCCATTGCTGGTGTGAGCAGTCTCCCGGAGCAAGCTGCCAAGGCCGTTCGAAACGAGCGCATCGAAGAGTGGCTGGCAAAGCAGAAAGATGCGTTTGATTCCGTGGGCAGTTCTCGCGCCAAGGCCCATCCTGTGCGAACGCTATCCAGTGCTTTGTCTGCGCCGTCGCATGTTTCCAGTGTTGCCACATCTCAAGCTGACAGGCATGCTGGGAGCGCTGCTGCCGCTGCTCGACGAGTTGTACCTCCTCTGTCATCAACAGAAGTCATGACAAGAGCTCAGCCCAGTAGCGGCAATGCACAACAGCAAGCTGACACTGGCACAGCGCCTGGCTGGCGTAACTATCCTGCATCCTCAGCGATCACCGACACTGCTGCTCGTCACTATCAGCCCGTCGCCACGCGCACCAGTAGTCGGCCCGTGGGATCAGCGGCAGGCTCCGTTTTCACAGGCCAGCAATATGCTGCATCATCGTCAGCCGTAACGGAATCGTCCACCCAGCACTCGAGCATCCGCAACCGCCCGTCTCAGGTAACGTTCAATCCAGCACATCTACAGCATCCGTACCCCATCCCGCTGCCATCGCAAGTTGCGGCCGGGTGTTTAGAGTCTGATGCCTTTCCTTACCGCGCCCTACCAGCCAGTGGTGCTGTTGCTGGAGATAAGCGTGGGACTTCGAGTGGCGCTGAGTCTTTAGTGCATGATGCTGTTCATACTGCACAGCCTGTTCGATCGCATTCAGACGGACTGCCATTGCGCTCCGCTGCTGCTGCTTCTGTTAACCCACTGCAGTCATCCTCTGTGCCACAGTGCACGAATAGTGCTGTGCTTGGTACAGGGTCAGCACACACAGCTGCAGCAGCACACACAGCAGCACAAGCAGAGGCGATGGTAGCGCCAGCATGCAGCGCCGGAGCACCGTTCACACCACAACGGCCCAGGACAGCAGTACGCTGTGCCTTCGCCAGCACCAACTTACCCAATGCTAGTGCTGAGAGTGCAGCTGGCTTGATGGCCATGTCCGGCCAGTTTCAACACCCAGGGCTTTTCTCAGTGTCTCCAGTTGCAGGTCGCACTCCACTTTCCAGAGTCCATTTCACCGGTCAACTGGGCAATGGGGCTGCTGCTGCTGCAGGAGGTGCCAGTCCTAGCGCTATTGACGGTGCCTCCCCGGAATCACAGGGCAGTCTGGGTACAATCAAGGGTCCACCGGCCAGCAGTGTCAGTCAGCAGTGTGTGCCGGCTTCAAACGAATGTGAGTGCTATGCGCTTCTGGTCACAAACACACACACACACACACACACACACACACACACACACACACACACTTTACTTTCTCCTTTTCTTTTGTACTTGCTCACTGCCAAAACTGGTCGCGTGGGTCTCCCCATGAGAGGGGAGAGAGATACCAGGACACACACACATTATTATTATTATACGCATTCCCGCGTTGAAGTGTAGCAGCAGTATGCTCCGTCCACAGCTTCGCTTATGCAGAATGGCTTCCTTGGGTGAGAGGAGAGGGCAACCAACATCTATGAAATTGGTCACAATAACATGAAGAGAACCAACCTACATATGCAGGATTGCACAAGAATGGAGACGACAAAATATAATGGCTATAATCATTGTGCCACAAAACCGGTACACAGGAGATCTGTCGACAATGTAACGAAACATAAAACTCAGTTACTCAATACAGGTTCCACTTAATTACAAGAGAACAACGCTTCAACGTTAGAATGGCCGCTAAATTATCGCAAGTGTAGAGAACGAGTCCAATACAAATGAAAACCATGAACAGACTGTCCCGAAGTTATTTTGGGAACAAATTGTACTACATGTACTTGCTGATACTGAATACGCTGACGGAACACGAATTTGAGTTGAATACTCACGAAGTCCTGTACATGTACATCATTATGCGCCGGTGTTGTGGAGTAAGCAGGTACGTCAGTCACCAATCGAGCTTCAGCTCCACGCTCGCTTCAGCAGAATGTTGCCCGCGTTTGTTTGCTTTGCCTCCACACGGATAGACGGCCAGCGCAGAGTCCCGCGGCTCCGTGGCCGTAAGGTCTTGATATTCGCCGTTAGCGCCGTCAAGTCTCAGTCCACCTCTCACACCAAGCCGCCCTATGAAAATCTTTCTCTCTCCATTGGAGTGCTCCCCAGTTGCGCGAGGAGACTAGAG